TTATCATGTAGCGGTAGCTTTCGGAAAGGTGGAAAACATATATTTAATACTTGCGCCGGGTATTTAATGTTCGGCTCCGCCCGAACTTAGACTTTCTTACTTGTTTTTATTATTTATTATGGTAATTATTTTTAAATGTATTTATATTTTTTATTTATTTATTTATTTTACTACTTGACTATACAAATACTGTGATATTTTCCTTATTTATTTATTTTTATTATTTATTATGGTAATTATTTTTAAATTTATTTATTTATTTTTTTTTTATTTATTTTTTTTTATACTTGACTATATAAATTCTGTGATATTTTGTTTATTTATTTATGTTTATTACTTATGAGTGTAATTATTTTTGAAGGTATTTATTTATTTTTTTACTTTTATTTCACTATTTATATACTTTAGCCTACTATGTGATTTTATTTTATTTTATTTACATCTGTGATATTGATGTAGTAGTAGACCTGTGATACTGTCTTTAGCTATACTTGTACGTATGTATGTGTACACACCCAGTGACCAGTACGAGCAAACTCAACCGACGAGCAAACTCAACCGACGAGCGACAGGAAAGAAGCCCGGCTTTAGGTCGTGGGTCGAGGCCACACGTTAGGCGGAAACATAGCTATGCAACCAGCCGCGTTAGTAACCTTTTTACGTACACGCTCCATGGTGCAGGCACCATCGGCGGGTGCGAGCCTGTAGCGCCAGCTGTTTGCCACATACGTTAGTGTGCGTTTGGTTGTATGCGTGCGAACTTGATCGAACATACAAAACTAGAAGCCAATCAAACCTGTGTTGACCAATTGATGCAGAAAAGAAAGTAATGTGTTGGAGTGAGAAAGTTTGCTAGCTTATGGTTCGGTGAGGCCGTCATGAGTGTACGTGTGTATGTGTGTTAAAGTTCGGCTTAAGCCGTGTTTTTCTTTATGTAATTGTACATAAGTAAGTACATAATACGGTATGGTCACTTGGCAGAAAAAAATATAAAAAGGACCAACATTTAGAAAACGGTTTCAAAAAAACGTAAGTTGCGGTGCTGAAGCGTTAGGCTGTGACTAAGAAGTTACGATACCAAAAGAAAAATATATATATATATATATAAAATTTGTTTAAAGTGGTAATTAACAGTGAGTTATTTTAAAAAGTGCTGTGTGGGAATAAAATTAAGGGAAAACGTTTCTAAAGTGCCCCTAATCATCACTTGGAACTGGAGGTAAGTCCTAAGTAAGTTATATATTTGGCATCTAAAATATGCATACATAAATGTGTATAATTGTATGCACGTATGTATGTATGTATGTATATTTTTGTAAAGAAAAGAAAAAGGGCACAAACGTGAAACCTAAGCGTAGCAATATAGTGCATTAAAAATGTTGTAAAAGAAAAAAAAAATCGCCAGAGTTGTGCTAATTTCACTCTACTAATTAATATTTTCAAAGTTAAATACATATGTATGTACGTGAATTCTAAATGAAGTTTTGGTCATTTCAGGTCGCCTGCTGAGAAAGCCAAAGGGCCTCCCTCCTTTTTTTTACGGCGACGGGAACCCAAATTTAGAAAAAAAAACTCGCTGGCAAATTGGTGAATACTTGGATATCCGGAGTCAACCACCGCCAGCTGCATCGCACATCCAAACGCACCGGAAAATAGAAATCGGTACCTACAGCAACACCAAGGCCCAAATATCAGCACTCACACCAAAAGAAAAGTATCTGCATCTATTCTGGGTTTGCACAGAGATATCAGCACCTGAGTGCAAATCCAAACATACTTTGTTAACACGACCAGTAATCATTTTACAACAACAATACCGACGTCGCGAACAGCTGTGCTAGCCGGAACAGGTCAACGGCCACAACACCTACTTGTGGACCCTGCAAGGCACTAGACAGAGGAGAATAACAGCCGACGGGAGCACAACAGCGTGGGAGAGGATAGCATCCACAGCAGCGCTGTCAGAGGGAGTAACACCAGTAAGAACAGTGGAGACTAGCGCTCCAACTACACCACCGATCAGCAGCGACAAGAGCAGAGGAATATCCCAGCGACGGGGAACTCGTTGGTTTAGTATTCTTGTGTTCCAATACACATATACATACAAACATAGATAGGTAGTGTAATTGGAGTTCGTTTTTTTTACCTTACCTTGCCCGGCTACTCCGCGATAGTTTTTTTATTATAATTATTTTCACAACTTTTTTTTGTTAGCGAGTTATTGGATTTTCTTTTCTGCATTTCACTTTGGTTTCTATTTTGGATTTCTTTTTCAAACTCGCTAACTTTTCGACAATAGATTTCAATTGTTTTACCGATCGCTATTGTAAATTCACTTGAAAAATTATATTCCTGGAATTCACCAGCTTCTTTGGATGGGCACATTTTTTTTTTTTTTTTTTACCTAAACTACCACGTCCAAAGATTCGCGTTGTGTTTGCGGATCGAACTTTTCATCCGAAGGTTTAGTTTACCTAGCATACGATACAATTCTTGCATTTAGCTAATGGTTTCTTTTGATATATTTAGTTTTAAATCTTAGCTTAGCACTTTTCCTGTTTTGTTTTGCTTGCCGTTTATAATTTTGCACGTGATGACCCGCTCGCTGCCCCGTAACACGAGCGAGTGATAGTAATATCAATAGAGAAGTAGGTTGATACCCCAGCTCCTTAGCTGCAGGCGTACATATGTATGTATGAATAGTTATTGGTATATGTATATAAAATTCTCCACAAACAGGTGCTCAACAGGGTGCTGGTACCATCATCGCTGGAAGCCAAAGTGAGTACAACAAATTTCTTTGTTATACATATGAATACATATATTTATGGTATTTGCATACGTACGTTTCCATTATTCTTATACATATGTACGTATATACGTACATAAATGCCTAGCTAGAAGTTTAATTGATCCCGCGGTTTTTTTAGGTTTGAGGGTTTGAAATTTTTTTATTGAGTATTTTTGAGTATGTTGCGTAAACAATAATAGCAACAATTCATTTTCGGCAAAATAGGATTGGCAGAACTGATTTGTATTAAATTAGATACAGGAACGATAGTAGGGATTTCTATACATTGTAATATTGAGGTGATCGTTTTTTTGGGTTAAATTCGTAGAAATACATCAGTGAATTTTTAGGCTAGATTTAAGGTATGGGAAGTACTATCAGAATTTGCATCCATTGTAACAGTAGGGTGATAGGTTTTTTGAGATAAATTTGCCTAAATATCTGTATAAGTGAATTTCGAAGCTAGACTTAAGGAATTTGAAATACTATAGGAATTTGTATCCATTATAATATTAGGGTAGTAGGTTTTCTTTCTGATAGAGTTATTGGCATGAAGTTTCATTGTTATAGCTAGATTTAAGGATTTCGAAAACTGTAAGAATAAAAAATGGTGTGAAAAATAGAATTTGTGGCTAGCTTTTGAAATTAAGATGGAGTGCTAGGCACAAGTATTTGGTGTGGGTGTTGCACTTGTGCAATAGAGGGGAAGTGGGAGTGGACATACAGATAAGACTATGGACTAGACTACTACTGATCTTCAAATAGACGGACGAATGTCAGGTTTAGGGGGCGTCGTAAAGTAGGTGAGGAGTCACGACGACGCCCAAGGCTTCACGTGGAGTTCCCGTTGAAGAAGGGTGGGATGACTCCACCTGACAGGACGGGACTGGACCTTTTTCTTCATTTCTATTTTCCCCAGTTTTTCTTAAGTTGTTTATCTTTCGTGTTGTTGTCTCCCGTAGAAACTATCAGGCATGATTAACTTTTTTTGATTATGTAGCTAACAGCAAGGCAGGCGGAAATGACCCACCCCGACGCCGAGCTAGCTGGGGATGCAAGCATGCCTGCATTCCGCCTCGCCTGGCTCGACCATGCTGCTACATTACATATGATAGACGTCTTGGTGAGCAGAAGGTTGGGGCGTTTGACGTAAGTATGATTTTCGCGTCATAATCAATAATCGGAAGGTCTTCGGTTTGCTTTTCTACGTAAGTATTTTTTATCATAAGCTTAAACTTCTTCGCCAGAACTGAAGGTACCTTAGGGTTTATATCAATCTCTTCACTAGCTTCTTCAAAACTGTCAATGTTAAATATTTCCTTAAGTATAGGTTGATTTTCGGAATTGTTCAAGTTATTTTCAACTTCAGTACACCTCGTTTGAGTTTTACAACTTGCCTGTTCACTATTTCCACTAATAGCACTAAAAAGATTCTGCTTATAAAGTTTATCAAATTCATTTTCTTTATTGACCGATTTTTTCATAAACAAATTTATTTTAAATGATTGTAGGAAATCTCTCCCTAATAGCAACTTAAATGGCATTTCATCGTCTTTGAGTACATAAAGTGTTAGTGGTTGTATGCTATTACGAAACTTAAGCAAAACTGGAATTTTTCCCTGAGGATTTATTTTAGATCGTCCAATACTTCTGAACTGTATATTTTCACTTCCTGGTTTATAATCTTTCATAACGTTTGTTACCGATGTCAGGTTAATGAAGCTATTCGGGCTGCCCGTATCAAATAGAGATAAAATTTTTGTACAGAGGGGTATTTAAGCGTTTTACTAAGAATGCGACACTTACCGTTTCTCTATAATGTACTGACTTATAGTCTTCTTCATCGCCTTCCATCGCCGCTATTGTTTTTGCTGGACAGTTTTTGTATATGTGGTCTACCTTGCCGCATTTGAAGCAGGAGCCTTTCGCGCGTTTTTCTTGCTTGCCGTCCCAGGCCATATGCCCATAGCGTGAACAGTTATAGCACCTTGCCGTCTCACTGCTGGCGTTGTTGCGATTCGGAAGGTTTCTCGACATTTTTTCATATTTTGGTAGTAATGCCTTAAGCGCCTCCAACGTAGTAATTCCGCCAAATATCATTGCGGCGCCGGTGTTATCGCGCAAGCCGTCCACTATGAACTCGACCAGTTCGCTCTCGTCGATGGGTGCATTTTGCGCTATTTGCTGCATAGATAGTACGTAATGCGTTAGGCTTTCTGTTTTTAGCCATACGCGCGATTCCAGTTGCTTAAAAATTTGTTTCTTTCGCGTTTCTACTTCGAGAGTGATTGGACGTGCCGAATTGATTGTGCTTTTTTTCATATAGGAATAACAACCGTTAGAGCTCCGGTGAATTGCCATTTAAGTGCAGTTAAATTTTCCTTTTTGCTTTTATACAAGTTTGCAGCATAAACCAGCAGATTATCAAGTATTGTGAGTATTTTGTCAATTTTTCATGTTTTTTCGATTTATTATTGTGTAAATTTCGGGGAAAAAAGTGAAGCCTAGGGCTACAAAAAAGACTAAAGCCGGAATGGCGTCGCCGACCAGAAAGTCGGTGGCGGCATCGGCCAATGATTTTGAGTCTTTCACATCGACAATGAATTTAAATAAAAAGTGCAAATTAGACAAAAAAGCCAATGATCTCAATCTGTGTGAAAATATTAATGAAAATTTGATTGCCGATGCAATCGAGAGTGGGTTAGTGCAGGAGGTTAGAAAAGTTAATACAGAAAATGCTAGTGACAAAATGGAGGTCGAAGCCATGATATCTGATAGCGCGAAATTAGGCGTGGGTGCAAATAGGGGTGAGCGAGTCTCACCGTTATACCCGCCAAATTTTTGTGGGATGTACTTTGTATTGGTTGATGCAGCAGAGTGCAAGGAATTGAACGAATTAAAGGTTAGAAATGGACTGGCTTTAAGAAGCCGAATCAGGGACCTCAATTTTAACGACATTGATCTCATCTATGCGATCGGCAAAACCTTATATAAAGTGACCTTTAAGTCTGCAAATGCAGCAAACACCTTCTTAATCAATAGTGATCTCAAAAAGCGTGGGCTTAGACCCTTTATCCCAAATACGGCCTTTGAGTCGTATGGTGTGGTGAGGGGTGTGCCCTTTGTCTATGATGTAAATGACATAAAAAAATATGCAATTTCTAGTGTACCAATTTCCTCAGTTTATCGTTTTACACGCAAAGAAGCAAAAGATGAGAAAGAACTTTTTGTACCCACTACCACAATCAAAATAGGTTTTTTAGGAAAGGATATTCCTAAAAGCATTATATTTGAATATACTAAGTTAGAAGTCTTGTATTATATACCTCCTCTGAGACAGTGCAGATAATGTGGTAGATTAGGGCATACGCAAATGTCTTGTAAATTAAGAAGCAGATGTCTTAGATGTGGAAGTCAGGAATGTGATAGCAACTGTGACAAATTAATATGTATTTTATGTGGTAAGGTGGACCATACAGCCATGGACAAGGACAAGTGTGACATGTGGGAGAAGGAGCGCGAGATCGGTCGCATCAGGACGATCAAGAAGCTTTCTAGAAAAGAGGTGCTAGAGACGTACTAGCCAGATAGGCAAAATAGATTTGACATTTTATATGAAGATTCAGGTTTTCCACAGCTAGGCGCGGAAGAGGCATAATAGATAAGAACCAGGAAATTAATAGGAGAATGACGAAAGTAAAGTACAGCAAAGTAGCAAAGAGAGCGATTATAGCTGAACCAAGCAATAATAGCAGACGTACAGTGACTGCCCAAAAACCACGTGGTGAACCTGTATATGAGAAAAAAAGAGTATAACAAAAACAGGGTGACGGAAGTTGAAAAACTTTTAGCAGAGATGTCCAAAATAACACAAAAACTATGCATTGAGCATCAGCTCACGTCTGAATTAGAACAAATTCAAAACTTAAAACTAAAATTTGACGGTGCAACAATGGACGATGAAGTTCAGCTAGTTACGAGTGGTCAAATATTGCAACATGAAGATGTTACAATATAATATTCAATCGTTAAAGACAAATGCATGCTATATTGAATTTTACCTGAACAAATACCAATTTGACATAGGAGTACTTTGTGAAACTTTTTCACATCAAGGCTCCAAAAAAAATTTTAATTATAATAGCTTTGGAAAATATAGGCTGGATGGATATGGAGGAGTAGCGATGTTGTTTAAAAAGGGTATTAAATTCACCAAAATTAGATATAATACCAATTTTAATGTTCTTATTGCGGTAACCAAAAATCTAAAACCCAATATTACGATATGTGCTGTGTATTTCCCACCTAGTATTCCTAATGGTATATTTAAGGAAGAAATTCAAAGAATGCTTAATTTCCTGGAAGGCCACCACAACGTTTTATTACTTGGGGATTTCAATGCTAGGGCTGTGGAATGGGGAGATACGATCAGCTCATGTAGAGGCAAAAATTTCTATAACACTATACAAGAGTACAGCTTTACAAATCTTAACGATGGGTCCCCAACATATAAAAGAGTCAAATAAATGGCTCGGTACTAGACCTAGCATTCACCAACTCCAACATCAGGTTTCAATGATCGGTAGATCCGGTAAGAATTGGAGGTAGTCTCCACTTCCCAATTACAATTGAAAGTCCCACAATAGTCACTTCTGAGATGTAATTTCTAGCGAAGAACAAATTAATCAAAGCCCTAAAAGAAACACACATTGAACCTGATATTGGATCCATTGAGAATACCCTTAAGGAAGAAATCAGAAATGCAACCTTTAGATTAAATAAGGGAAGAAGCCCAAAAACTTGGTGGAATGATGAGTTGGCAAAGGCCTTCAGATTGTTTAAGGTCGCTCAATACAAATGTAACAGAATACCTTCTGTAGAAAATTTAGACAACTTTGAGAGCATGAAACACCAATGGAAAAAGCTGGTAAGGGAAGCCAAAAGGAACAGTTTTGAAAATAAAATAAATGAAATCAATGAGAATCCTACAACAAAAGAGACATGGAGGTTTGTCAAAGCTGTTAGGGGGGATTATCAGAGAACTAATCAGGTTCATTGGCCACAAGAAGAAGTTAAAGAATACCTTAAAATGTTAAAACAACAAGTTGCCCCAAACGAAGAGTATCAGGAAGTTAATAAGAAAATCATTCCGGATTGCAGTCTTGCCATAACATATGAGGAGCTAGTTGAAGTACTAGTTAAAAAAAATAAAAACTCAGCAGGTGGACAAGATAGGATAACGTATAAAATGATTAAAGCGTTACCAGATAGTTCTCTGAATAGTGTTCGTACAGCTTTGAACGATATTTGGCTTACCAACCAAATTCATGACAGTTGGAGGAATGTTAGAATTGTCCCAATCCGCAAAAAAGACAAAGATTTAGATGATTATAGGAATTTTCGACCAATAGCTCTTATGTCAGTACTGTTAAAGTGCGTGAACTCTTGTGTGAAGAACAGAATAGTGGAATTCATGGAAGAACAGAATATTCTGCCGTACACAACCTTTGCTTATAGAAAAGAAAAATCAGCTACAATGGCTGTAAATTACCTTCTGCACCAACTTGCCATCAATAAATATAAAGGCCGTAAAATAGTAATTTGTGCACTTGACATAAGTAACGCTTACAATTGTGTCAGCATCTCCAAACTGAAAGAAATGTTAACTAGTATGGGAGTGGTAGACAACCTAGTGGAGTGGGTCGCGAACTTTCTGGCCTTTAGGAGACTGAATCTAGCAGGTGAAACGATGGAGATTAGTGGTGGTTTACCTCAGGGCAGCTGCCTGTTCCCAATTTTATTCAACATCTATACGATGGAGTTACATAGCATCAGGGACCAAAACACGGACTTATGTCAATTTGCAGATGACTTCATTGTGACGTCCTATGGGAATAATTTAGAGGCGGCAACGCATAACTTACAAAACAAAATTACACAATTTGGGGATTTATGCCAGAGGTTAAATCTCTCTTGCAATCCTGCAAAAACTAAAGTTTTATATTTAAGCAAGGGGAGTAACAAGGTCATTAATGTCACGTTGAATGGGCTACGTGTTGAGCAGACAAAGTCTCTTAGGTTTTTAGGCAGAAATAATAACACCTCACTCACGGTCACTGAGCATTTTGACTCTATCATAAAAGAATCTGCTAACAACTCCCAACTTTTTAAACTAATAACAACAATTAAAGCGGGTTTAAGGCCCAATGTAGCTCTCAATTTTTACAGGTCGATTGTAAGATCGAAAATTGAATATGCCAGAACGTCTACTGCCAATAGCTGTGTCACTGTGGACAAAAAAATTAGAACATATCAGAACAGCTTCTTAAGAAGGGCACTGGGAGTGACCCCATCTACACCAATACCGTTAATATATGTGCTTGCCAATGAATTGCCGCCTGCAGAAAGAGCAAAGTGGCTAACTGCTAAAGAGATCATCAAAATTTTTGCCTCCAATAATCCATGCAAACAGGCCATTATTGATTTTCCCAATGTTAATTCCAGCTATAGCAAAGTGTACGTCGAGTTTAGACATATACTTGATCGTCTAGGTGTGACCGATCACGTTGCTCCCCCCACCAACATCACTGTCAAGACTAAAATCCTTCCTGACAATAAACAAAACACGCCGAAAGAATTAGCTAGATCAATTTATGCGAATATTATTGACGATTATATCACCGCTAAGTATAAGATTTTATTTACACACGCGTCCGTTCAGCAGGATAGTGTGGGGATTGGAGTATATGATCAACATGAGAACAAAGAATATTCCTACAAGATTGGGTTTAGGTCGTCGTCAAGTTTTGGGGAGGTTCAAGCAATAGATAAGGCAATAATGTTGGCAATCAATCTAGGTTATGAGAAAATTGTGATTTTTACGGACAGTTTGGTAGCATGCCAGCTATTCCTCAAAAATCACAACGATAATTATAACATAGAGCAGGTGTTTAAAAGAATAATAAGCTCTGACATAGTAGTACACATAATATGGACACCAGCTCATATTGGAATAGCTGGCAACGAAAAAGCTGATCAAATTGCAAAAGCTGCTACAAATTTACCTCAAACCCTTGACGTAAATTTGTCTATTAAAGAAGCATTAAAAACAATTCACAACATTATCAGAGAGGACTGGTATAATCAGTTTCTACTATATTCAAGTAATAAACCCAATCTATATGCTCAAATCTTTCCGAGAAGTCCTAGACAGTCCTGGTTCAATAACTTACACACACACACACACTTACTGCTAAAGAGACCAAAACTATAAACAGAATCTTTACTGGGCATACTTATGATCAGGCATATCTGCACAGAGTGGGAATCATTGGCTCTAACAGATGCATGTGTGGTGAAGA